CTCCTCCTCCTCCTCCCCGTGCTCCTCCTCCTCCCCACCCCCCTCCTCCTCCTCCTCCTCCAGTCGTCTGGGGGTCGACGTCACGGGAAGGTCGTGGTTCCGGGGTCCGGGCCCCCGAGCGGCGCGCACGAGGGGGTGCGCAGCGCGAGGGGGGCGGGCCTCCAAGAAGGCGGGGGGGGCTTCCGAGAAGGCACGCGTCAAAAGTATTCGCGTTGGCGTGCCGGGGCATTTTCTTTTGCGGAGCTGGGCGCCCTGGCGCGGACGGCCGAACGACCCCTGCAGCGGGACGCCCTGGCAACGCGGTTGCCGCCGCGAAAACTGCTCGTTCTGCGCTGCTGCCGCGCAAAGGGGGCCTCCTCAGAAGGCCGTCCTGCTTCGGAGAAGCCTCCTTACATCGACTGCACTCAGGAGGAACAAAAACACGCAGACGCAATGAATCGTCGACTCCCCAGAAAATAGGGGAAGATATGGGAATGGAAGGGAGGACAGAAACCAAGAAAACATATGGAAATACGGGGAATCCTGTTATTCGTGTGTGTATTTTTTTGTGTGTCCCAGGGCCCTTTCATGCACGGGAAGCCTTTTAGAAAAGGCCTCTCGGGACACGCTGCGACTGCACACAGGCTGCTGCGACGCTGGGAAAACGGGAGCCAATACGACTTCCGGGGCTACCTTGCGGCTCCGGCTTCTGAATCTGAAAAGCCCTCTTCGGCGCGAACGCGATATGATCACTGCGTCCGCATCCGCTAAAGTCAACGACACTTCACATGTGTCATGCGGGCCTCAAGAGGAAAATCTTTCGGCCTGCTCAAGTAGCTCTCTGAGAGCCATCCGGGAATCTCTGGAAGGATGAGAGTGGCCCTCCGCTGGAGTGGCGTTTGGTGCGGGCCCACCGGGGTCCCCCGATCGCCGAGCGAGATGCGGTAGCAGCGTCTTGCGCGCTTGTGTGTGTGTGTGGCCCCCCCGACGGCCCCCAAAAAGTCCAAAGGTCGCGCGCGAGAGGTTACTCTTAGCCAGGGGGGTCACTCTTGCGTGTCGTCGACTTCGTGCTTCCGGGCCCTTCTAAGAGGCCCCCTGCCTTCCAAAGAGGCGCGCCCCGCCTGCGTGGAGGGCCGGCCCGTCGCGCCACCCCCTCGTGCGCGCCGCCAGGAGCTGGGGTCCCAGCTGGTGTGGTCGGAGGATCGCGCCGCATCGCCGCTGCATCGGCGATGCGGCTCGATGTGGGGCTCGGTCTTCTCCACGCTGCTGTCGCCGATGCATCGCAGAGGCCGCTGGTGCATCGACGACGCATCGTCTATGAACGGGCGATGCATCGGCGATGCATCAACGATGCGGGCGTCTCCTCCGACCACGTCTACTCGGACCCCGGAGAGGAACACGACGGGATGTTTTCGGGCGGTTGGCCGGTTCTCTGTGGTTTTCTCGCCTCGTGATCCGTTCTAGCAGCTGCGCCTCGCCGAGAGGCGTGTGGGGGAGGCCCTGATCGCGCCGAACGGCCGCCAGAGACCCGAGTTAGGACCCGAACGCCAGACGGTGATGACCATGCTCGCATCGAGGACCCAAAGAACGACGGGAGGTTTTTGAACGTTTTCGGCCTCCTGGGGCCAGTCGGGAAGCAGCTCGGGATGAATCGGGTCCGGGGGCTCTCGCAGGCCCAGGGGCCCTCGCAGCTCGATCCGCCTCGGAGGATGCCGCATAAAGAGGGGCAGGGCTCTAGTCGAGTGTTTGTTCCCAACCCTCCTTGGTTGGGTATTCGTTTGAATAGAGCACTGCTCGTGCGTCCTTCCTTCCTCCCCCTTCCCGCCTCCTGCCTCTCGCTGCCCGCCCCCCGTCCTGCTTGTCTCCTCTTGCCTTGCCTTGGGGGCTGCGATCTGCAAAACTGTCGCCACTTGCGAAGGCTGCTGGTGCGTCCAGCGAAGTGAGGCCCGCCGGATCTAAGCGGTAGCTCGCCGTCCCTGGGGGGCTACGATCTGCGAAATTGTCGCCATTTTCGAGGGTTGCTGGTGGGTCCAGCGGAGTGAGGCACCGCGCGGATCTGAGCGATAGCTCGCCAGCCCTGGGGGGCTGCGATCTGCCAAACTGTCGCCATTTTCGAGGGCTGCTGGTGGGTCCAGCGGAGTGAGGCACCTCGCGGATCTGAACGGTAGGTCGCCGTCCCTGGGGGGCTACGATCTGCGAAACAGTCACCACTTTCGAGGGCTGCTGGTGGGTCCAGCGGAGTGAGGCACCGCGCGGATCTGAGCGGTAGCTCGCCGTCCCTGGGGGGCTACGATCTGCGAAACCGTCGCCACTTTCGAGGGCTGCTGGTGCGTCCAGCGGAGTGAGGCACCGGCTGGATCTGAGCGGTAGCTCGCCGGCCCTGGGGGGCTGCGATCTGCGAAGCAGTCGCCATTTTCGAGGGCTGCTGGTGCGTCCAGCGGAGTGAGGCACCGCGCGAATCTGAGCGGTAGCTCGCCGGCCCTGGGGGGCTACGATCTGCCAAACAGTCGCCACTTTCGAGGGCTGCTGGTGGGCCCGGCGGAGTGAGGCACCTCGCGGATCTGAACGGCAGGTCGCCGTTCCTGGGGGGCTGCGATCTGCAAAACTGTCGCCGCTTTCGAGGGCTGCTGGTGGGTCCAGCGGAGTGAAGCACCGCGTGGATCTGAACGGTAGGTCGCCGTCCCTGGGGTGCTGCGATCTGCGACGCTGTCGCCACTTTCGAGGGCTGCTGGTGGGTCCAGCGTAGTGAGGCACCGCGCAGATCTGAGCGGCAGCTCGCCGTCCCTGGGGGGCTGCGATCCGCGAAGTTGTCGCCATTTTCGAGGGCTGCTGGTTGGTCTGGCGGAGTGAGGCACCGCGAGGATCTGAACGGTAGCTCGCCGTCCCTGGGGGACTGCGATCTGCGACGCTGTCGCCACTTTCGAGGGCTGCTGGTGGGTCCAGCGGAGTGAAGCACCGCGCGGATCTGAACGGTAGTTCGCCGTCCCTGGGGGGCTGCGATCTGCAAAACTGTCGCCGCTTGCGAGGGCTGCTGGTGGGCCCGGCGGAGTGAGGCACTGCGCGGATCTGAGCGGTAGCTCGCCGTCCCTGGGGGGGGCTGCGATCTGCGAAACAGTCGCCACTTTCGAGGGCTGCTACTGGGCTCGTCACTTTCGAGGGCTGCTGCCGGGTCCAACGGAGTGAGGCACTGCGCAGACCTGAGCGGGGCTTCGCCGTCCCTGGGGAGCCATGTCATGCGTCTTCCTTAGTCACTCAGGGGTTCAATTAGTTACTCATCGCTTTTCCCTTGATTGGGGACCTGCGAACCTTCCGAATGCCGCTCGCAGAAGTATATGCGTCCATGTCACGTCGCCGCCTTCTCGTCAAGTCTCCCAGGCTACTCCTGCCCCGCATTGCGCAGGGGTTGGATACGTCGCCAGGGTAATTTCCGATGTTGCAATTTTTCGTGACGGCGGATCTCAGGGTCCGCTCGCCCTCCTCCCTACCGTCCCTCTTCCTGCATCATTCGCCCTTCCTCTTTTCTCCCACGTCCTCCTGTCTCTCCCTCGCTCTTCCTCCCAATCCGCCCTCCTCCATGGGTCTCCTGGTGGATCACTCGGGGGCGTCTTGGATCCCTCTTCGGGCGCCTCTTGTGGACTCGTTGTTGTTCTGTGGGGCATCTTGGGGACCTCTTGGCACTCGCGACCCCTTTTCGGGGGAAATGCTCGGAACATCGGAGTTCGACTTACGTCTTGGGTCGGTCTTAAGACCGGGCATCCGCGTATGCGAAATCCACACAACAGATTCAGGTATGTCAATGGTGTTGACTTCTTGGCATGGCCCCCAGGGCCCCAAGCGGCCTCAGGGCGCGCCATGGAGCGCTGTTGGGCGGCGCATCTTGATCTTAGGCCATGCTGGAAGTAATTATGGAATCCACACCACGGTCGCGCCGTAGCCTAGGAAAAAGTCATGTAAGCCGCCGCGCAAATTCGAAAGGGCACTCTGTAGCTCCAAGAACTCTGGGGCCCAGGCCCCTTCAAGAGCATTGGCAAGACTCAATACATACAACTCGGGGGCGCCTGATGACACTCCACTCAGTGCCCACGGAACGGTGGTACATCTCTTGGTTGCAACCGCTGCACGGCGTCCATGGGAGAACCTACTCCTCACATCTCACTTTTCCTCTGTTCCCCCCGCACCTTCCCTGTTTATCTTCCCTCCGCGTTCTGACGACTCCTATTCCTGCACAGTCATGCTCCTTCTCGTAGGCTCTCCTCTTGCTGTACAGTTATCCGAGTGCCATTCCTCTCACGAGGTCGCAGGAGTTCGCCAAGAGGTTGCGTCGAACATGAAACTCATGCCATGCCCGCAGGCATTCGTGACAGTTTGGTGACTTCTGGGGTCTTCGACGCTTTGGCGGACCATGATCGCACCCTGCTGTTCTGGGTTAGCACGGTGCTGTCCATCCGCGCTATGTCCTTGTGCCCAGCTGGCTAGAACTTGACCGCGCCCGAAGGTCGTTCGATTCGAGTAGGGATACATAGCGGGCGCCCTCGTGAATATCGAACGCAATGATGTAAGCTCGACTTTCAGTCCATCTTGGCTGCAACGAGTCGAGCGGGAGAAAGTCGACAAGAAGCTTGTTAGGGTCAAGGAGGCAGAGTCCAAGCTCCTCTCTCTAATGGAGGGCGTCCCGTTCGAAGCGCTGGATATCATGGTCAGACTAGATTTAAAGCCGCGTTGTCACTACTGTAGACCTGATCGTTGCTGTGGATACCATCCAGAATTTCATCTTTGGCCGATTCACACAGTTGTCGTCGGCAAGGAACATAGTGATAAGTTGCCGATCGTCCTCGTGCACGGATTTATGATGGGTGCGGCCTGCTTCTTCAAGTGGTATCCGCTGTTGGCACGGGAGCGGACAGTGTATGCGATCGACATCATTGGTATGGGAGGCAGCGGCCAGCCGCCTTTCACGCATGAGCATCAGACTCCAGAGGCTGCAGAGAACCTGTTGGTAGAGCCCTTTATACAGTGGGCGGATGTCATCGGCCTGTCTCAGTTTGTACTTCTCGGACACAGCCTGGGAGGCTACGTTGCAAGTGCTTGGGCCACCCGTGACGTTCAGCGCATCAAGCACTTGGGTCTCCTCTCGCCTCTGCTCGGTTGGACGGACGAAAGGATTCAGCAGACGAAGGCATCGGGGCGACGAATCTACACAGATCCACCGCCGCTGGTCAGGCCCATCATAGACCCAGGAGCGGTGCGTATGCCTCCCTGGCCAAGCCAAGGGGCGTATACACTGCTCCTGGGCCCAGGATGGGCCCGGCCAGCGGCGGTGGATCGGTGTAGACCTCGTCGCCCTAGGCGTGGGTGCGACCTCATGGCAGACGAGAGCTGTTCGGTTGCGCTGCCGCTCAGATCCGCCGCCGTGCTTTCTGGGGGAAGTTGCCCAGCAACCTCCGCAGTGTGCCACGGTCTGCGGCGCTGCCGTATTGCACTTCTGGAATCTCCGATCGCAGGCTGGAACCAGGGAGACATAGAGGAGGTAGGCGAGGAGGGAGTGATACCAGCCAGGTTGCGAAGTGAGTAAAGCAGGCAACTTCTTGATGATCATTGTCTTCGCTCCCAGAACAAATTCGTAACGTAGAAACCCGTTCGGCAGACTGCCACCATCAATTCGCTACGTCGGTCAGCTTGTCTATGTGCTGAGCAGGTGACCCAATCTGGGGCATTCCGTCTGGCCTGTGTGGGGTCCTAGATCGGCGGCGCGCCGAGGGGGGAGGTTAGAGGGGGCGGGTCTTCTCAGAGGGCTCGGAAGGCCTCCGGCCTGCCGACAAGTTCTCGGTTCTTTTGCCGAACACTCCGCAAGAACTTTTCAGATGGCCCACGGAGCGGCGTCCGAGGCGGCGAGCACCGGTCAAGGGCAGCGTCGGGGCGGGCCTCGGCTCCGGGGGGGACGCATCGATCCCTGGCATGGCCCTTGCATCACCGATGAGAGCCTGACGGGCCCCCCCTGCCCTGGAGCGTGGGCTTTCGCCCTCGGGTGCCTGTCGCCGATCTTTCGGCGGTGCATTGACGATGCAAGCCTGAGGTTTCCCCCCCGAGCTGGTCCCCCGCTGACGTTGCCCCTCGAGTGGTCGAAGGTCCCGGTCAGATATCTGGCTAGATCGTACACTTGTGCATCCCAGGCGGTCTGAGTTCACGGTCGCCTGGCATGGCGACGGAAGGCGCCATGATACCCTCCAGCCGAGCTGCAATCTCATGAGCTCGCACCGAAACAGTATGGTCTTGGGAAAGTGGGAAGGAACGAAAAACGAAGCGTACACATGCAGCGGCAAAACATGCGCGTAGTCGCATTCATGCAGCAGCTACAGCCACCCCCCCACACACACACAACCACACACATACACATACACACGCACACACACACACACACACACACACACACACACACGCACACACACACACACGCACACACACACGCAAACACACACACACACACACACACACACACGCACGCAAACACATACACACACACACGTATACACACCAACACTCACATGTTTCGACGCACATGCGCATTTCTGTGTCGCAGGCGCGGCGGCGGATTATGGCAACAGCGGAGTCTGCCTGGGCGCACCACATCACACCTCAGACCTTTGTGCGCTGGATTCCTGGCGCGGAGGGCTTTTTCCAGAAGAACGCCCAGCGCCGGTTTGGAAGGTCCAAGGACATGAGCGAGGAGGAGTGCAGGTTGCTTGCGGAGTACGTGGTCGCAACGATGGCAACGCCTGCGTCCGCGGAGGCAGGAGGGAGCAGACATAAGATGATGATGAGGACGAGGTGAAGGCGGCTTGAGCATGAGGAGGAGGAGGAGGAGGAGGAGGACGACGAATGGAGGTAGGAGTTAGGAAGGTGACGAGAAGGCAAAAGGAGGACAAGGAGGAGGACAAGGAGGATCATGAAGGAGGACCCTCCGATGACCACACGGCAGAAGCTTTAGAATCGCGTGAAGAACCTCCCCCCAATCTTATACCCTCCCCTCTTTCTCTTAGCTACTCCTCGTCCCGCTTCACTAGCCCCTAAATCATTAGCTCCCTGGCCCGTAGCACCATTCAGCACCCAAAGAAACACCCCACTTAATCGCAGTCTCTCCCCAGTCCACCCCGCCCCAGCCATAGCCCGTCCCCTTCTTATCCTCGTTATTCCTTGCCCCTCCTCGTCCCTTCTGCCTCTGCTGGTGCTGCTGCTCCTTGTCCCTCTCCTCCTCCTTGTCATTCTCCCGCTGTTGCTGCGACTCACTGTCGCCACCTCCTTGCTCCTCTGTGTCATGAGATGTGGTTGTGTCTCCTCTTTCCCGCCCTCGTCTTCCACCTCCTCCTCCTCTCCGTCTTCTCTTTCCTCCTCCCTCTAGAGATGAGGACGAGAAGTAGAAGGAGCGGGGTTCAGAAGAATGTTCTGGCAGGCCTTTGGTTTCAAGGAAGGCTACGGGAGTTCGAGAGCGAGGGGAGGAGGAGGGAGGAGGAGGAGGAGGAGGAGAAGCAGGAGGAGGAGGAGGAGCAGTATCTGGAGCGAGGGCTGAAGGGCAGCCTACAAAAACAACATCAGACTGGACAGGCCCAAACATTCCAGAGGGTCCCAGCAGCCAGCTTGGCAGCACCTGAACTGCCCCAACGGCGCAGCACGCGGCAAAGAAGTGTGCCATCATACGCAGGAGGAGGAGGAGGAGGAGGACGACGACGATAATGGAGGGAGGCAGCTGCCGCCGTGTGCTTCGAGCCGTTCTGCAAGCCGGTGGAGATAAACGGGGCCACCATCAAGGAGCGGCTGGAGCAGCTGCACACTGTCCAAGCACTCTGCCGTCGTCGTGGTTATCGTCTGCCTTGCCGCTCTCTCATCCCTGGTCATTCATCCTCCTCGTTCTCAGCCCTCCTCTTCCTCCTCCTCCCCCTCCGGATCTTATCTCCTTCTCGTCTTCGGCCTCATCCTCTTCATCCCCATCTTCCGATCTTCGCCTTCCTCGACCTGCTGCTGCTGGTGTTCCTTATCATCTGCCCCTTCTTCCCGCTCCTCCTCCTTCTCCTCTTCCTCCTCCTCCTCCGCCTCTTCCAGGAGCGGTTGAAGCAGCTGTGCACGCCCATGTTCGCAGTCAATGGCGACCATGACTGGATGGAGCCGGCGGCAAAGGGAGAGATACCGCACTGTGTTTTCCATACCCTGTCGGACAGCGGTCATCAGCTGGAGGGCCAACGCATACATATCCATGGCATCCCTCCGATGCCGTCTTCCTCTTCTTTCTCCTGGCGGGGTAGGGCCTCCTCCACAACCTCCTCCTTCGCCTCCCTCCTCCTCCACATCCCCCCCTCATACTCCTCCTCCTCCTCCATTCTCCATCCCCCCCTCCTCCTTCTCCTCCTCCTCTGCCTCCTCCTTCTCCTGGTCATCATCATCAGCATCATCATCATCACCACCATCATCATCAGCATCATCATCAGCATCATTATCATTACCAGCATCACCATCATCATCCTCATCATCATCATCATCATCATCATCATCATCATCATCATCATCATCATCATCCTCATCAACATCATCATCGCCGTCAGCATCATCACCATCATCTGCATCACCATCATCGTGATCATCAGCATTATCGTCGTCATCATAAGCATGACCATAATCACTGACATCATAATCATAGTCGCCATCGTCCTCATCATCATCAGTCATACTATCATCATCATCATTATCGTCATCATCATCGTTGCCCTCATCATCTCCAGCATAAACAAGCATCATCAGCATCATCATCGTCGATATCAGCATCCCCATCCTCAGCGTCATCATCAGCATAATTGTCACGCAGTAACATCATAATCAGTATCGCCTTCCTCCTCATCATCAGCATCATCATAAGCATCGCCATCATCATCATCATCATCATCATCAACAACAACAACATCATTATTACCACCACCATCCTCATCATCATCATCATCAGCATCAGCATCATCATCAACAGCATCATCATCATCATCATCATCCTCGTCGTCGTCATCATCAACACCCTTTTCGATGCTCCTTCCTCCTCCTCCTCCTCCTCCTCCTCCTCCTCTGCCCTCCTCGTATTCTCCTCCTCTTGCTATCTCGCTTCCCCAACGCCCTCTCCGATTTCTTCTTCTCCCCCTCCTCCTCCTCCTCCTCCTCCTCCTCCTCCTCCTCCTCCTCCTCCTCCCCCTCCTCCTCCTCCTCCTCCTCCTCCTTTTACTCCTCCTCCTCCTCCTCCTCCTCCTCCTCCTACTCTACTAACTACTCCTACTCCTACTACTACTACTCCTACTCCTACTCCTACTCCTACTCTACTCTACTCCTACTCCTACTCCTACTCCTACTCCTACTCCTCCGCAACCCCTCTCGGCGTTCCCCCTCCACCTCTGCTTTCCTCCTCCTCCTCCTCCTCTCCTCCTCCTCTCTCCTCCTGCTGCTCCTCTTCCTCCTTTTCTACCCACTCCTCCTACTCTTCCTCCCCGTTCTCCTCCCCCGCCCCCTCCCCTCTCCATCCTCCCCATCCCCCTCCCCCTCTCCATCCTCCCCATCCCCCTCCCCCTCCCCCTCCCCCTCCCCCTCCCCCCTCCCTCCTCCTCCTCCTCCTCCTCCTCCTCCTCCTCCCTCCTCCTCCTCCTCCTCCCCCTCCTCCTCCTCCTCCTCCTCCTCCTCCTCCTTCTCCTCCTCCTCCTCCTGCTCCTCCTCCTCCTCCTCCTCCTCCTCCTCCTCCTCCTCCTCCTCCTCCTCCTCCTCGCACGGGGTCCTTTGTTGGCCTCCCTCGTCGCCACGATTACACGCGGCTTGGAGAACAGGTTAGGATGGCGCCTGGGAGGGCCCCGAGGAGGGAGCGGAGGGAGAGAAGCTGGAGGAGGATGGGGGGGATGACTGGGAAGCGGATGATGGAGAAGCGGATGATGATGGCGAAGGCTTGATGATGATGGAGGAGGAGGAGGAGGACGAGGAGGAGGAGGAGGAGGACGAGGAGGAGGAGGAGGAGGCCGACAGGGCTCGCGGCCGCAACAGTGCCCGAGCTCACCTGCGTGGGCAGTCGCGTGTTTTTTCGTCTGCGGGGGAGCGGCGGCGGCGGACAGCCTGGGCGCCGACCCTGCCGCGGCGAGCTTCGGCGAAATGACGGCGCCGGAGCAAGCGAGGCACCTCCGGGCTTTCCGGGCAGCCTTGCAGGGCCTCCGGGAGAACGGGCTCAGGGCGCGTCCTGATGTGGACCTTCGCGAACGGCGCCGCCCTGCACCACGCCCGGGCGCACCTTCTCGAGGAGGCTTGGTGCTGCCCCTACGAAAGGTCCTCGAGCACTTAAAGGACCTACCTGCTAGGGCAGCCCTTGACGGCCGCGGCGCGCGAGCAGGCCTGCCTCCCGCTGGCAGACGGAGGACTGGGGCTGCAGAGCCTCGCAGAGCGCCGCCTGCCCGCCTTCGCCGGCTCCTGGCTTGCGTGTTTGGCCGATCAGCGGCGCGAGCTTGGGGAACCCAGCCTCGAGACCTTCGCCGCGGCCTGCCTGGCGACTTGGGCGACGGCCGAGGCCGCGCGGCAGCGGGCCGGGGTGGGCAACTCCGCCTGGCTGAGCGCGGCGACCGAGCGGGAGGAGGGGCGCAGCGGCGACTGGCGCGGCCCGCGCAGGAGCAGCGCCGCGCTCGGTGGCTCGCTTCGCTGCCACATCCGCCCGGCGCTGGCGCTCCGCCTCCGCCTGCCGCTGCCTTCTGGGGCCAGCGCCACCTGCCTGAGGCGCCGGCCGGACAGGACCTGCTGCGGCGCCAACCTGCGCGCGGACCCGGGGCACCCGTGGCACCCGTTGGGGTGCCACGTGAGTGGCGGGACAATCGATTGCTAGGCACAGCAGCCTGCCCGATTGGTTGGCGCGCTGGCTGACTGCGAAGGTAGCGGCCAGAGTGGCTCGTCCCTGCCTGTGACCGGGTCCGCCAGGACGGCGCCACGGAGGCGGCCCGCCCGGATGTCGTCTTACGCGACCGTCCGGGACTACCTACGCCGACGTAGTGGTCACGGACGCTTCACTCGGGGCCGGGGCGGCGGAGGGGCGGCGCCGCGCGGCGCGCGACGGGGCCGTGGCAGCGGCGGCTGAGGAGCGCAAGCACTTGCGCTACCCCGGCCCCGACTTCCTGGCCTTCGCGCTGGGGACGCTTGGCCAGGCCAGGCAGGAGGCGCGCTCGCTGCTGCGCACCTGGGCGGGCGGCCACCCGCTGGCCCTGGCCGCCGCGCGGCAGAGCTTGGCAGCGGCTGCAGCGCGGCAGCGCGAAGGTCTTCCGCGCGGCCGCGCTTCAGGCGGGAGCGCCGTGGCGACCGGCCGCGCCCGGCGCCGCGCTGCCCCATCGGGCGACGCGCGCGGCGCGGCCGAGCGCGGGCGCTGCTGAGGCGCGCGTCGCGCGGCGCGGCGCGGCGCACGGCGCGGCTACTGCGGCGCCCCCCAGGCCGCCAACGCGGGCATGGCGCGCGGGCGTCGCGGCCGCGGGGGCGCGGGAGAAGCAGCGCTGCGCGCGGAACGGCCGCCGCGGAGGAGGACGGGCGGCGCCGGCCCGACCGGGGCCGGAGGCGCGGGGCAGGCTAGCCGCAGTGCGGGGCGCGGGCTGCAGCGCGGGCGCGGCACTGGTGGCGCCGCTCGAGCCGGCTGGGGGCGCGGAGGGCGCGACGGCGGCGGCCTGGCCCCAGGGCCTACGTGGTCATCTGGGTCCCCATGGAGTTCCCGCCCAACGGGCTCTGTAGGCCCAGGCCGCCAGACACCGCCCCCGTGGGAGTGCCCGCTGTCTTAGACAGCTGGTTGCATTTGGGGGGGGTCGCCCTCCTTGCGGGGCGGCGGAGGTGTCTGCCAGCCCCCGTTCACAGCGCCCCCGGCGCGCGGCAGACACGCAGCCACCGATGATGATGATGATGATGATGATGATGATGATGATGATGATGATGATGATGATGATGATGATGATGATGATGATGATGGTGGTGGTGGTGGTGGTGGTGGTGGTGGTGGTGGTGATGATGATGATGATGATGATGGTGCTGGTGATGGTGCTGATGCTGATGCTGATGCTGATGCTGATGCTGATGCCGATGCTGATGCTGATGATGCTGATGCTGATGATGCTGATGCTGATGGTGATGATGATGGTGATGATGATGATGATGGTGATGATGATGATGATGATGATGATGATGATGATGATGATGATGATGATGAGGAGGACGAGGGGGAAAAGGAACAGTTCCCTCCTCTTCTCCTCCTCTGCATGAAGGGCGGCGGAGGGGGGGGGACAGGGAGAGGGAGGGGGATGGGGAGCAGGGGGGGGGGAACAGGAGGAGGAGGAGGAGGAGGGCCCCCCTCCCCCTCTTGCCTTGAGGGGGGGGGGGGGGGGGGAGAAAATGAGGGAGGGGGAGGAGGGGTGAGACAGGGTGGAGGAGGGATGAGGAGGAAGCAGGAGTACGACCTCAGGGTGGACGATGAGGTGGATGATGACGAGGTGGAGGAGGAAAGAGGAATAAAAAGGATGATGAAGAGCAGCAGCAGTAGGAGGAGCAGGTGGAAGAAATATCTTGACGCTTCGCGTATCCCCACCTGATTTTTCTCACTCTGTGCCCCAGAACGTTAGCCCCGCTCGCTGGACCTCTCCTTCGAACCGCCGAACAAAAAAGTATCCCCACCAGCCCTTTCAGGTCCGTTCCTCTTGCCTCGGCTTACGCTCGCGACTGTGTGCCCCCGTTCCCGGAGACGGCTAAGTTGCTCGCGATGTACGCCGACGACGTCGACGACTGGGTTCCCACGGTGGGCGTCGCCTCCGAGTTCTAGCTACTGCACAAGTGGTTTATCCTTTGGCAGTTCATCACGGCCCTCCCGCAGGGTGGTCCAGGAGACTCGACCAGCGCTTGCAGCTTTACTCCCCCGGCTTTCATTGTTTGGCAAGTTGCAGGCTGGACTCAGAAGACATGGCCGCCGGTTCCTTGACTAGGACGGGTCGCTCTCATGCCCAAGAGCATCCTATGACTCCCTGTGAGTGAGGCCCACATCTGTGCCCCCCTTCTCCTGCCGCCGCGTGCCCTTGCGCCCGCCGTGCCTCTCCTGCTTGTGGCCTCCTTTTAGTTTCATAGACGGTGCGGCCACCCCGGCCAATCCGTGCCGCCACAACGCGGCGCGCTCCACGCCCTTGCGCGCTGTTCGGTACGGTCAGAGCTTGGCGCCACTTGTGCGACCGGTCCTTCCGTCCGTTGTCTGTTCGGTGCTTGCGTTCCCCGGTTTCGGGCCGCCAGCGTCCTAATGAGGGTCATTTTGTCCCTGGCACGCGCACCCGCTGCCGCGGCCTATGCGCCTCCGTAGCTAATTTGCTCGCCCTGTGCCCCAGCCGAGTCCGTCCCGCTTCTTGGATCTGTCCTTGTAAGCTGCCAATCAAAAAAAAAAAAAAAAGCCCATCCAGAAACGACGATGTCCAGGCAAGTTGAAAGATCCAGGAAGTGGGGGAGCAACGAGAGGGACAGCCGATCCGTGCAAAGGATGAGGCGGAAGAGGAGGCCAGATGGATAGATGAGGGGGTGGCGAGGAACCGAGCGAAGGAGGGATGAGGAGAATGATGACGCTGGGTGGATGGTCGAATGCCGCCCGGATGCCTCCTGGAAGCCTTTTGGAAGCCTCTTCGGGCGTCTTGGGGGTCTCTTGGCGGTCAATGGGGGCTCTTGGGCGTCTTGGGTGCTTCGGGGGGGCCTCTTGAGGCCGCTTGGGATCCTCTTGGGGGGCTCTTGGGAGCCTTTTGGAGGCCTCTTGGGGCCTCTTGGGGGTCTCTTGGAGCTTCATGGCGGCCTCTTGGAGCCTCTTGGAGGCCTCTTGGAACCATCCAGGGAGCCTCTTGGATCCTCTTGGGGCCGCTTGGGGCCCTCTTGGGGGCCTCTTGGAGGCCTCTTGGGGCCATCTTGGCGCCTTTGGGGGCCTCCTGGGCGCCCTCTGGGGCCATCTTGGAAGCGATCGATCAAAGAAGGGGGTTTCCCCAATTAACCCTGCCCCTCGGGAGCTCCCAAAATAGCCGCCTGGACCCCTCTTGGGGCGCTCTTGGAGCGCTCTTGGGCGCTCTTGGGGCCGTCTTGGGGCCCTCCTGGGCCCCTTCTTGGGGCCTCCTTGGCCCCTCTTGGAGCCATGTTGAGGCCTCAGATGGCCATCGTAAGCGAAAGGGCGAGAAGCCGAACATCCTTGGTTTTCCCTAGGTTTTTGAAGGAGTTTGGCTTCTTGGGGAGCCTCCTTGGGGAGATAATTGGCCTCTTGGAGCTGTCTTGGAGCGTTCTGAGAGCGTCTTGGAGCATCTTCGGAGCCATCTTGCGGCATCTTAGGCTATCTTGAGCCATCTTGGAAGCCATCTTGGATTATCCGAGGCGCTCATGGAGCCATCCTGGGCCATCTTGGACACTCTGACCGCTCGCGACCGGGCCCGTCCAGGTGCAGGGGAGGGGGTTAGGGGGAGGGGTAAACCCCTCCCCGAAGGGGAAGAAGGGAAGATGGAAGAGGAAACTCCTTAAACCACCTACGCCCAGAGGGCTGGTGGGTTTTTGGGGGAGGGGGGGGGAAAGGGGGATGATGATGGAGAAGAGTAAAAAAGTTTTCTGGATATTGAGCGGCTGGACGAGGAGGAGAAGGAGGAGGAGGGGGAGGGGGAGAACAATGGGGCATGGCAAAATGAGGATGTGGCGGGGCGGGGGAGAAGGAGGTGGAGGATGGAGACGGGGGAAAGGGGGGAGGGGGATGAGATAATGGTGGACGCAGCCACCGTGAAAGTCACAGCGGATATGTACGTGTACGCCCCCCGTCGTCTTTACTTCGACAACCCGCAGGGGCTCACCGACATAGTCATGAAAGAACTCACTCCACGATCGCCTTGACGCTGGTTTGCGGCCCTCCTTCCTGGAGGTCCGTCGCGCCCGCGCGCCGTGCGAATCGAAGTCGGCGCATGTGCCATCGTGGTGCGCGGAAAGTTCCTTTGACTGCGACTGCAATTGTCATTTCTGCTGCTCCTCCTCCTCCTGCTCCGCCGCCTCGTCCTCCTCCTCCTCCTCCTGGTTCTCCTCCTCCTCCCCTCCTCCTCCTCCTGCTCCTCGTCCTGCTCCTCCTGCTGCTCCTCCACCTCCTCCTCCTGCTCCTCCTCCTTCTTCTCCTTCTTCTCCTCCCCCTCCCCCTTCCCCTCCCCCCTCCCCCTCCTCATCCCCCTCTTCCTCCGCCTCCTCCTCCTACTCTTCCTCCTCCTCCTCCTCCTCCTCCTCCTCCTCCTCCTCATCCACCTCCTCCTCCTCCTCCTCCTCCTCCTCCTCCGCCTCCTCCTCATCATCAACCAAATTTCGACCTTCTGCTGCTCTCCGCTTTCTCGTCATCCGCTTCCCCGTCATCTTCCCCCTCTCCCTCCAGCTTCTCTTCTTCCGCCCAATCCTCTGCCTTCCTTCTCCTCATCATCCGCCTCCCTGTTCGCAGGCTGTTTGCGAATGCTCCCCGTGGATTCCGTCTGCATCTGCAGGCTCGTCGTGTTGTGGGCTTTCGATTTCGCTGCAATGTCTCGAGTCCTTCGCCCGCTCGTGAAGAGAGCATCCCAGCATTAGCCGACCGTTCAGGCGACGTCGGCACTCCATGTGGCAGTCCAGCCCAGTTCTCTTTCCTCAGTCTCATCCTTGACCTCCCCTCCTAACCCTTGCGAGGGAGGAGGGTAAGCAGCAGGGGGAAAAGGAGGGGGAGGAGTGCAGAGAAGGCAGGAGGGACAGATGCGGGAGGAGGCGCATCAGGAGGAGGAAGAGGAGGGCGGCGACGACGACGACGATGACGACGACGCCGCCGTCGACGGGGATTGTTGGCGACGACGGCGACGATGACGACATCAGCGAAAACGCCGATGACGACGACGCTGACGACGCTGACGATGCCGTCGACGACGCTGACGACGCCGTCGACGACGACGACGACGTCAACGACGCTGACGACGCTGACGACGCCGACGCCCACGACAACGATGACGACGACGCTGACGACGCTGACGACGCCGACGTCGCCGACGACGTCGCCGACGACGACGCCGACGCCGACGACGCCGCCGACGCCGACGGCGCCGGGCGGCGGCGGCGGCGCGGACCTCGGCGGGCGGCCGGGCCCCTTCCGCCGCCCCCTCCGGCAGTGCTGCGCGGCCAGCCTGCAGTTCCTGCTGTCCCGCACGCTGCTGCGCCCGAGCGTGGAGGAGCTGATCTCGCAGGACCAGAAGGCGACAGCGCTGACGACGACGACGACGACGACGACCACGACCACGGCCACGACCACGCCCACGACGTCGATGCGAGGTCGCGTCGTGAAGCGAGAGGCTCGAGCAGAGCACCCCGACGGCAGCAAGGGTGAAGAGGCGGGTCGAGGAGTGGGAGGTCGGGGCGCGACCATGGGGCACCTGAGTGTGTTTCTTCCAAACAGGGGTCGTGGCCGTCCGAACCAACAGTGTAGCCGACATTGTGGCGAGAGCACGGTTCTGAATCAAGTGTGAAGTCAGGCGGAACGGTTGTTGGACCGCCTCTGGACCAGGCGGTATGGAGTTTCTCGCCCCCCCCCGGGGACTCTTCTGCGGTCTGTTGTTTCTCCTATGAGGCGCCGTGGCGCAATCACGACGGGAGGTCTCTGGCGATTTTCGGCCGGGGGCCCCTCGCCGGGCCCTATACGACCATCAAGACTCGACTCTGGATGAAATCCGGTCGCCCGGAGAAGCGGTCGGGACCTTGGGGGTCCGCCCTGCGCACAAATCACGACGCAGGAGGGCTTCATTAGGAGGCGGGGGGGTCGATGTTTCCGGACGCGTTTGGCCCTTCGATGGCCTCCAGAGGATTTCGGGAAGCTAACGAAGACCTCTAGGGACCTCCATATCCAGGGAACTCCGCAGGCTTTTGCGAGGTTGGGCGGGGAGGGGATGGCGGGTTCGACGGGGTTACCAGTGGGCTGTGGGAGGTTTTCAGAGGGACCTGGGGAGCCCCTGTCCTTTTTTCTCGCCCGCCTCCCTCCCATGAGGAGGAGGAGGAGGAGGAGGAGGAGGAGGAGGAGGAGGAGGAGGAGGAGGAGGAGGAGGAGGAGGGGGGGAGGGGGAGGAGGAGGAGGAGGAGGAGGAGGAGGAGGAGGAGGAGGAGGAGAGGAGGAGGAGGAGGAGGAGGAGGAGGAGGAGGAGGACTTTTCCGCTGAGCCCTTACGGGCGTGCAGCCGCGCGCGAGCACGCATGGCTCGCACTCGGCGCCCCTTGCGTCCCCTCCCTCGTCATCCCTCCCTCCCTCCCTCCCTGCCCGCAGACCCCCTCGCGTTGTGAAAAAAATCACGACGGGAGGTTTTTTTTCCGTATTCTCGGCCTCCGGGTGCCCTTGCTGGGACCCATGGCCGGTCAAAAAGCGATTCGGGATTAGAAACCGGTCCCGGGGGAAGGGGTCCAGGCCTTTGGGGGCCGATGCTGTGCACAAAGCACGACGTCGGGGGTCTGGGCCTCCTTCCCTGCCTGTCCGCCCCGCCCCGCCCCCGGAATACCCCTGCAGGTCCCGCGACCGACATCACCAGGGCCGGCCCTGCATCCCGAGTCGTGCTCGGGCCGGCCCCGGGCCCGCCCGGCGACGAGGAGGGCCGCCCCAAAGAGGCCGAGCATGATGTCGGGCCTGTCCCCCTACAGGGGGATTTTCGACGAAAAACGAAACATACCCCCAAAATGCCCCCAAAAAGGCAACACAAATGCTCAAAAAATAGTCCACAGCTTATTAGCTTATTTTTGGATTATTTTTTGTTTGCCAATTTTGGGGGTACTTTTTATTTTTCGTCGAAGGGGGACAGGCCCGACTTCAGCCGAGCACGGACAAGCACCGGCCGGGCGCGCCTGGGTTCCTGCCCCGTCCCGGCCCCGTGCCGTCGCGTCCGCCTTGGTCCTGCCTCTGCCGTCCTCTTGGGCCCTCCTTGCTGCCAGAGGGGCGGGGCGCAGGAGGCCGGGCCGGAGAGGCGGAGGAGCGTGGCCTTTTGTGTTGTTGTTGTTGTTGTTGTTGTTGTTGTCTCCTTCCTATTCCTCCTCCTCCTCCTCTCCTCCCCTCCTCCTCCTCCTTCTCACCCCTCCTTCTCACCCCTTCTACTCACCCCTCCTCACCCTTCCTCACCCCTCCTCCTCCTCACCCCTCGTCCTCCTCACCCCTTCTCCTCACCCCTCCTCTTTCTCACCCCTCCTCCTCAACCCTCCTCCTCCTCGTCCTCCACCTTCTCCTTTTCCTCCATTCCTTTTCCTTAAAGTAACTGTTTTCGATCGCGTCCCGAGGCTGGTCGAAATGGCGGGCCGGGCGTTTCGCTTCAGGTTTCCTGACCACTTATGACCCTGAAGTTTAACAAAGGGCAGCAGTTTCACAGTTGGAGGGCGGGCCGCTTCCAAAACGGGGCTCTCGCTTTTGCGCCGCGCGCATAGTTGGTTTTGTTACGTTATTTTGAACTAGTTGCAAGAGTTTCGCGCATTGAGGGCAGGCGGTTGTCCACATGTGGCTCTCGCCTTAGGCCGCGCACATTCGTTCTAAATTATTGCAAGGGGTTCACGGATTGAAGGTGTGCGGTTTTCAAGATGTTGTTTTCGCTTTAGCGGCGCGCACAGTTGTTCCCAAATATGTTGTGGTGTTGGGCCTTCGTCTTCAAGAGACAGCGCCCCGCGTCCCACCTCTCCCCCTCCTCCTCCTCCTCCTCCTCCTCCTCCTCCTCCTCCTCCTCGTCCTCCTCCTCCTCCTCATCGTCCTCCTCCTCCTCCTCCTCCTTCCTCCTCCCCCGCACCGCACCCATTTCGGCATTGCCAACCACCCTGTGGTGTTGGGTCCTCGTTTTGAAGAGACAGCGCCCCGCGTCTCACCTCCCGCTGACTCCCCCATAGGGAGCTCCATCGAAGGCCCCAGAGGGAAAGTTCGCATGGCGGCCTCGGGCCATTTCGGCACCCCTCACGAGGAACGTGGCCCCATAGGGAGCTTCACCGAAGGCGCTAGTGGCAGGGTTCGCTTGGCGGCCTAGCCCCAGTTCGGCGCACCCCTCACGAGGATCGTGGCCCCACAGGGAGCTCCACCGAAGGCCCCCGTGGGAAAGTTCGCATGGCGGCCTCGCCCAAGTCCGGCGCACCCCTCACGAGGACCGTGGCCCCATAGGGAGCTCCACCGAAGGCCCCAGTGGGAAAGTTCGCATGGCGGCCTCGCCCCAGTTCGGCGCAACGCTCACGAGGAACGTGGCCCCCTAGGGAGCTCCATCGAAGGCCCCAGTGGGAAAGTTCGCATGGCGGCCTCGCCCCAGTTCGGCGCACCCCTCACGAGGATCGTGGCCCCCTAGGGAGCTCCATCGAAGGCCCCAGTGGGAAAGTGCGCATGGCGGCCTCGGCCCAGTTCGGCGCACCCCTCACGAGAACCGTGGCCCCATAGGGAGTTCCACCGAAGTCCTCAGTCTGAAGGCTCGCATGGCGGCCTCGCCCCAGTTCGGCGCACCCCTCACGAGGACCGTTGCCATAGGGAGCCCCACCGAACACGACAGTCACGACTGCGGTACTCACAGCTGCATATGGTTGGGTCCTTCGCCATGCTAGTTTTAGAAGTTGTGGGCGGGTTGTTTCCAAAATGTGTTTCTCGCCTTTGCGCCACGCACACTCGTTTGAAAACATAGCAAGAGCTGAGCGGAAAGGGGCTGTTCCCGTTCGAAATATGGTCTTCGCTTAGCACCGCGCACACGCGCTTTAAACATTGCAGGAGTTTCACGCACTCGCATGGCTAACGTTCCAGAAATAGCGTTCTGGAGCGCTTCATGATTGTTACGGCGCAACAGATACGTTGTTTCGCTGTGTTGAGGCCCCAGAATGGTGTTCTGGCACGATTCAGGCTCGTCAGACGCAACAGTCAAGTTGATTCGTGGCGTTGGAGTCCCGAGGATGGTGTTTTTGCACGGCTCAGGATACTCAAACGGTTGGTTCCCAATGGGGCACTTCCCCCAATGAGCCTATGAAGTG